TTAAAACGACAATTCAAAAATAATTATATTGTAATGAATTTATTATTGATTACACGATAAAATAAATCTTGAAACGTTATTTAAAGATATAAGAATCATTGTTCCATAATCGAAGAACTTAAAACAAAAATGGTTATAGTTCTAGTCTGTGTCACAATCACAATTTTCACAAATATATGGACCACGAGTTTCACCTGCTGTGCAATTAATAATGAGCCCACTTATAACAGACTGTACACTGCACCCATTCTTCTCTGGATACAGAATTACTAAACAGGTCTCCACATAGAAGACACTCAGTTTCTTCCATCCGATTTTTCGCTTTTTTCTTGCTTTTATTACCAGCGCTTGCGCCTTTTCCGTGACCACTCTCTTTCGTTTTCTTTTTATCTCTGTCATCTTTTTCAAGCTGGAGTTGTTGTTTGTTTTTTTTTTCGGGTGTAGAGGTCAAAATAGCCGATTATCGTTTTTTCCTGCTTATTTTGGTCTTTCGTGGGGATGCCTCCCTGAAAGGTTTTATCATCTCTGGAGTCCTCAGCGGGTCTGATGTTTTCCTGTTGGTAGGAGGACTATTCATTAGTACGTTTTCACTAGTAGATGATGTCTCCAAGTTTTCTGTTGATACTTCATTTGGCAAGGGGCGATCTGTTACGTCGGTGGGTAGAAAATCATCATCTGAAAAAAATGTGACGGTCAAAAGGATATATGCCGGAAACATGAAAATCTTTCTTGATATTTTCTGGAGTAAGCGCTCGTGTAAGGCTTTGATTTACTAAGGCTGGTATGTCATAAATGCACATTGTTTTTCCAGGATTGTTCTTTAGCCAATCGTCAGCTGCTGCGTTATAATACTTCTTGAAAGGCCCGTATATACTTCTATCCAGGTGCTGTAATCTGTGCGAACAGTGAGACGGGAACGAGAGAAGATTTATACCATTTTCCATACAAAAATTGATACAATCTAAGCCCCCCAGTGGCACAGCGGTATGTCTGCGGACTTACAACGCTAGAAACCGGGTTTCGATACCCGTGGTGGGCAGAGCACAGATAGCTCTTGTGTAGCTTTGTGCATAATTAAAAACAGACAAACAAACAAATATATTTGAATTTATAAGTAAATATAAACTCATTCTTAAGACTCTCTGTGAGTGACCGAGACTAGAAAACACAAACTTAAACATTTTCCTAACATTAGAGTGTATTTAAATCTTATTTAAAAGATTACTTAATTTCTCCTAAGGTGCCATAGTTGGGTGGAAAGTAGTAAAAGTTACTAGTGGATATTTCTGTCCATCATCTTTTCGTTGTAAAATTCAAAAATTAATAACTGGTATTGTTAAACTGTGACTAGTACTGAAGTTTAGAAATCCAAAGAAAGATGAACGTAATTTGTATTCCGCAAAACGATATTTTGTCACTATTGATACACAATATCGAACCTTAGATGGCTCGAGTGGTATTAGTCTAGTTATCAAACTAAAAATATTTTTATAAAATGTGTGAATTTTAGGATAGAAAACACAGTTAAATGTACAAGAACTAAAAACAAATTAATGATTATATTTCCTTTCTTCAACACTAACTAAGGCTTACGAAAACTGAGTTCACTGTACAAGAAATATTGATTATAAATTAATATATTTCTTATTTACCCCAAACATAGAATTAGGCTTAGTTTTGAATAAAGTTTTTAATGTATTTCGTGTACAGGTTGATGGGGAGTATGAATCCACATCCAATGCTATTCCATTAGTCTGTGAGAAGACCAAAATAGTAAGATGCCAGTTTTAGGATCAGGATGAAATTTCATTCCGTTCATGGTCGAAACGTCGAATTAGAAGACGGCGGTACTCGAGCAATCCGCAACGCTTCCTTCTGTGACGCTATAACATTCGGAAACAAGCCTTTATCTATTAACTCCCGGATTTCCATTCAGCTTAACGCCTGTGAAGAATGGAGCGGAGCTTTGCGTCTAGGGGTGACGTCACATGACCCCAGTTTACTAGCGCCCTCTATGCTTCCCCGTTTTGCCTGTCAAGAATTTTTTTCAAAAGAGGGATTTTGGGCTCGACCTGTACCAGAAGAATGGGCTGGAGACGACAACAAGTAGGAATGTTATTCCTAACCTAATAACTGGTTTTATTTATTAATTGATAATCCACATTTGAAACGTACATTCCTCCTCCAAAACACGTGATAAATGTACACCGAATATTATTTTGATGTAAATACTGACTTTTTGGTTATTAATGGACCTTTACTGGCATATTTGGAATGTTGTTTATATAACATTTTTGATGTTTTGACACACTCTTATGTGGTTACCATAGATAATATACTCTGTTTAAACTATAACAATTAAATTTTTAAGTTTTACTTATCAGGGTGTTTCCTTTAATTATTTAGTTAATATATGTAAATAAATACGAGAAGCAACCTAAAAGTGAGCAATGTTGGAGTTCATTTTACTAAAGAGGAACAAAAGAATTGTCTAACAGATAATGAACAACAAAATTATTTTTGGATAACTACGAATGGACATATATAAAAGATAATAAATACTTTGTTTTTAATACTTGGCCCTTTCTCATATGGAGGCCCGTTTTTAGTTTTTAAAATACGACTTTCTTTCAAAGAAGAAATAAAAACAGGAAGAAAAACAACATTAAATATAGTTTTTTTTTTTACTAAGCGTCATTAAAGTACCTTATATATATATATATATATATATAGTATTTACAAATTATAATTAGAGATCCATAAAACTAATTTACTAGTCATTCTCGATAGTTCTAAGATTATTTAAAATTAAACCCATTACATTTTATGTTAAGAATAAGGAAGCAAGCTTATCGCCTTTTTGTTTTTCTAGATTAACATTTTACATCAACAACCAAGGGTACTTTCACGTATTTGTCAATAACGAACACAAGGGGGCGCTACTGTCGGGTCTTCCGGTTAAGGAGCAGCTTTGGCCTGTTCTAGACCTCTACGGGATAACGGTGTCAATCAAGTTTATAGCAACAGGTAAGTGAAGAGTTTTGTTTATACTGTTACGTCTCTGTTCGTTTGTTAATTTCCCGTATAATTTCTTTCTAGTGAAACTTTAGCGATACAAGTCCTCCCTTAAATAAAAATAGTTTATTCTTTCTCAATACAACTTTGCAATACACTTAATTTCCACAGTTACTTTAACTTAAACACATGCTATAATTCACAACGATTCACGCACTTTACTTACGGTCACCACCGCGCTTGACTCAATTACTCGTCTCTATCTCTGCCTGTCTGCAATTATCTATGCCGTCACTTCTCTGCTTTGTTTGCCGGCTTATATACTAAAATAGAGGGCGCGTAGAAAAGTTGCTACGGACAATCATGATCCTTGTAGAATCTCATGACGTGTTACTAGCGTCACGTGATTTCCGCTGTCGTAACAATACTATAGTTGTGTCTTTCTATTATTATATGAGCAATCAGCCTCTTGAATTAGTTTAAATTAAACGTTATTTATTGTGAAGACATAAATTAGAACGATTTTGTTTTCATCTGTTTGTTTACCTGTTTCTCTCGTATCAGAATCAGTAACATTCTGTGTAGTGCTTATTAATATTAGTTACTCAAAATATGTAGTGCTTATTAATATTAGTTACTCAAAACATATAGTGCTTATTAATATTAGTTACTCAAAATATGTAGTGCTTATTAATACTAGTTACTCAAAACATGTAGTGCTTATTAATATTAGTTACTCAAAACATATAGTGCTTATTAATATTAGTTACTCCAAACATATAGTGCTTATTAATATTAGTTACTCCAAACATATAGTGCTTATTAATATTAGTTACTCAAAATATATAGTGCTTATTAATATTAGTTACTCAAAACATGTAGTGTTTATTAATATTAGTTACTCAAAACATATAGTGCTGATTAATATTAGTTACTCAAAATATGTAGTGCTTATTAATATTAGTTACTCCAAACATGTAGTGTTTATTAATATTAGTTACTCAAAACATGTAGTGCTTATTAATATTAGATACTCAAAACAGATTTTAATTTGTGCATTTTCTATTAACCGGTAATTTATTTTTACTGAGTGTTATGGTTTGTTTGTTCTTTGTTAAAAGCACAGATGCAGAATGCCTCTTGTGTCCTATGCCCGTCACAGGGATCAAATTTTGAATTTTAACGTTATAAACCTTTAATGTTATGGAATAAGTGGACATACTTACAAACGTACCGTGAACATCTGTGTAAAGTATTATTGGTAGTCTTAGTGATATTAGTAGCATTACAAAATGAACTTTAAAATGCACAAATAATTAATCAAAGCAATAATTATTATCTACAATAATGTCTGTCAATTAAACATTTAATCCCTTATTATTGGCCTGGCATGGTCAGGTGGTTAGGGCGCTCGACTCGCAAACTGCGGGTCGTAGATTCAAACCCCCCTCCCACTAAAACATGCTCGCCCTTTCAGTCATGGGGGCAATATAATGTGACGGTCAATCCCATTATTCGTTGATAAAAGAGTTGCCCAAGAGTTGGCGGTGGGTGGTGATGACTAGCTGCTTTCTCTTTAGTCTTTCACTGCCAAATTAGGGACGGCTAGCGCATGAAACTCTCGTGTAGCCTTGCGCGAAATTCATAACAAACCAAATACTATATTATCCAAGAACATTGAATTGTGGTAATAATTTTCTATAACAAAATAATTCATCTCATTTTATAATAATTTCGATATATCCATATTGTTAATGAAAGTGGAAGAATTATTTTATGTATTTTTATTTTACAGAAAGTAATCCACCTGAAGAGGTTGTCGCTAGGGGTCCTGAAGCTCTTCGAGCGTATGAACACGCCTGCCTTGAAGGCAGCGTTCCTCTTTCTCATGCACGTATATTTCTTATTGGACCACTAGATGGCGATAACTCTTTGCTGAAGTGGAAACTGGTAGGAAAAAGGTAATATATCCCGAAAATTACATATTCCTAAAAGATACTACACAAGCGTATAGGTATGACTAAAATGATGATTGTTGTAAAATGTTTATATGAACAAAAACGACAACCAAAAAAAAAAAGAAAGTAGTATTGTTATATGTCACAGTTTTGACGTCAATATTGTTAAGAGTTAATAATTCAGATTTTATCCATATTTATTCAGAATTGCGATATTATCTTAATTTTTTTTGATATGATTAACCGTCAGTAAGTCATGTTGTCAAATGTTGTATTTCGTTAACAGGTTTTGATACTAACGATTAATTATATGTTCTAACATTTCCGGATGCATACTTCTTTAAATACCAGGGTTGGTCGTGGCTCCGTGTTCATGCTGCCTAGAATGTGAATTCGAACATTCATGATTCGCGTCCCATTACCGTAAAAACGCGATTTGAGGCAGTGACTGCGACCATCTAATCCCACTCGTTGGTCAACTGGTCAACATTAACATTTATGTATATAAAAAGGTTTGTATTCTGTTAAGCACAAAGGTACACAAAGGGCTACTATCTGTGCTGTACTGAACACGGGTATCGAAACCCGGTTTTTAACGTTATAATCTTTAAGACTTACCACTTCATCATTGGTGGAGGGCATAAATATATAGTTGTTATTATTTAAGTGTTATAGTGCTAATGAAGTTAAGAATATTCCCAGTGAACAACCTGTGAAAAGTATTTAACCGTATACCATCTTGACTCTGAAACAGTGTTCCAGAAGAAGAGAAGGAACGGAATTTTTTAGGAATCGATACAACATTTACGTGCCAAACAGTTGAAGAAAAGGGGAAAAGCTGGAAGATTATCAGTAGTTTAAATGAAGAAGAAATGACGGACACGAACAAAAAAGTTTTTTCCACAAGTGCGTTTTCTTAGAAATTTATACTGCACTAAAGCTTATCCAAGGTCGTATTTATACTGCACTAAAGCTTATTTTACTTCATGTTTTGTTACATTAATGTATTGAAATTTTATTTTATTATTTGGGTTTTTTAGCTGTGAAACATTTCACCTGAGTATAAGTTATCTGTTTGTATTATGATGAATTGTTGCTTAAAAATTAAGGAAAAGAAACAGTTATTTCTGAGAAACTCCTGAAACTATCATTCTGATTTCAACAGAATCCGTTAATAAGAAAATTAGCTAAAAGTTACTTGATTTTTTTGCAACTGCCTGCCATGACTCATAAGGATGCATTACAAGTTAATTTATAATTATTTCTTAGTCAGTAGATGTGGAGGAGTGGCTAGATCATGAATATATGGAGGAGTGGCTAGGTGATTGGTCATGAGTATATGGAGGAGTGGCTAGGTCATAATTATATGGTGGAGGGAGCTAGGTCATAATTATATGAAGGAGTGGCTAGGTCATGAATATATGGAGGAAGGGCTAGGTCATAACTATATGGAGGAGTGGCTAGGTCAGGAATATATGGAGGAAGGGCTAGGTCATAACTATATGGAGGAGTGGCTAGGTCATAATTATATGGAGGAGTGGCTAGGTCAGGAATATATGGAGGAAGGGCTAGGTGAAAGGTCAGAGTATATGGAAGAGTGGCTAAGTGAATGGTCATGAGTATATGGAGGAGTGGCTAGGTGATTGGTCATGAGTATATGGAGGAGTGGCTAGGTCATAATTATATGGTGGAGGGAGCTAGGTCATAATTATATGAAGGAGTGGCTAGGTCATGAAGAGCTAGGTCATAACTATATGGAGGAGTGGCTAGGTCAGGAATATATGGAGGAAGGGCTAGGTCATAACTATATGGAGGAGTGGCTAGGTCAGGAATATATGGAGGAAGGGCTAGGTGAAAGGTCAGAGTATATGGAAGAGTGGCTAAGTGAATGGTCATGAGTATATGGAGGAGTGGCTAGGAGAATGGTCGTGAGTATAGCCTTACGTGTTTGTGTAGCTGTCACGTTGTACTCTCGCTAATCTAGAAGCTTGTGGTTCATAGATGTAAACTCACTTGGTCTGCTCAAAACTTTGTTACTCGTTTTTGGAATATCTTAACAGCGCGTGAACGTTTTATTTTCTTCGTATGGAGTTTTTATCAAGACATGTAACATAAAGATATGTTAAAACATGTATATATATCTATATGTATGTGTGAAATATAAGCATACAGAGAAATCTATGTCTAAGACAACAAGAAATGTGGAAGCCATGTCCTGTTACACCATGATATGTCTGAACCCATAGACGTGACGTTGAAATGTACAATGAATGCTATATCTATGACAAAAATTATCTGAAGAAAAATTTATGACACAGTGATATACTAGAACCTATAGACTTTATATAGAAATATACATAGTTTGTTTTGTGACACAAAGATATATCATAACCTATAGACTTTATATAGAGTTTGTTTTGTGACACAAAGATATATCAGAACCTATAGACCTTATTTAAAAACATACATAGTTTGTTTTGTGACACAAAGATATATCAGAACCTATAGATCTTATTTAGAAACATGCATGGTTCGTTTTGTGACACAAAGATATATCAGAACCTACAGACCTTATACAGAAACATACATAGCTTGTTTTGTTTGTTAAGCACAGAGATACACAATGGGCTATCTGGGCTGTGCCCACCACAAGTATCGAAATCTGGCTTTTAGCGGTGTGAACCTTCAGACTTACCGCTGAGCCACAGTGGGGCAAAAACGTATATATAAACATATAAACACACACACATATAGCTTTTGGTGTGGAGTTTGTAGTTGATATATTAACCACTAAAGGGCAATGTACTAAAACTAAATTATTTGATGCCATAGTTCTTTGTTTAAACGATGCGTTATTTATCTATATAATTTTATTACAAAATAATAAAACATTTTTTCTAAAGTTTAACAAATTAGAATATGAATGGATAGTTTAGTTAATTAATCATTTTTTAACTTTATTGTGTAGAGTCCAGTAAATGACACAATAACGAAACCATAAAAGTTGTAGGCTTTTTATGATGGCACGTGTGTAAACCTTAGTTAATAAGAAAACTTTTTATATTTTCAAATTTTGCTACTTTTATCTATTTGTAATGGTTTGGTGTTATTTTGATTAAACCAAAACATTATAAATGAAGTCTCTGATGCAAAACTTTGGTAGAGTTTGAGAAGTCTTAACAGTTTGAATATCATTTCAAATTTTAATTTTACTAACATTATTAAATTAAAACGTCATAAAATTAATAAGCCTGTGATGCAAAACTTACATTTTTCGAAGACATCGAGTGGCCATATCAATTTTATTATGATGTCATATTTTAATTGTATTAAGTTGATTAAGTTAAAACATAAGAAATTAAATCTGTGAGTAAAACTTGCATTTCTGAGAGAACATTTCAATTTCATGTCAATTTCAGTGGCATTTCCTGTTTTACTTATGCTTACCTTGCGCGAAAAACAACTTGAATACATTTATATGATCTAATCTACAAAGATATAACAAAATGACAAAAGTCACATGGTCTCATTAAATATTTCATACTAATACTACTACTCTTAGATGCACCAGCCCCACAGTGGCTCAGTGGTAAGTCTGTAGACTTATGACGTTAAAAATTCAGTTTGATACCCATGTTGGCAGAGCAAAGATAGCCCATTGTGTAGCTTTGTCCTTAATAATATTCAAACGAAGTACACTTACAGGTATAACTAGTCAGTAACTACAGGTAACAGGAGGAATGGTAAAAAAGTGTAATGAGGATTTAAATAGAGTTTCTGAATCTGACCAAACGTAATATAAAACAAACTAAAAATGATCAAACAATGCACAAAATACACGACAGAGCTGTAAATACAGGACAGAGCTGTTTTTTTAGATGGAGAAAGATCTAAATCTGGATGATCTTAAGAAGAATCTGAAATCAATAGAGTATTATAGTACCACTCCGCCACATAGTTGAACTACTACAGAGTATCACAGTACCACTCCACCACATAGTTGAACTACTACTGAATATCACAGTACCACTCGCAACATAGTTGAACTACTACAGAGTGTCACAATACCACTCCACCACATAGTTGAACTACTACAGAATATCACAGTACCACTCCGCCACATAGTTGAACTACTACAGAGTATCACAGTACCACTTCCGCCACATAGTTGAACTACTACAGAGTATCACAGTACCACTCCGCCACATAGTTGAACTACTACAGAGTATCACAGTACCACTCCACCACATAGTTGAACTACTACTGAATATCACAGTACCACTCCACCACATAGTTCAACTACTACAGAATATCACAGTACCACTCCGCCCCATAGTTGAACTACTACAGAGTGTCACAATACCACTCCACCACATAGTTGAACTACTACAGAATATCACAGTACCACTCCGCCACATAGTTGAACTACTACAGATTGTCACAATACCACTCCGCCACATAGTTGAACTACTACAGAGTGTCACAATACCACTCCGCCACATAGTTGAACTACTACAGAGTATCACAATACCACTCCACAACATAGTTGAACTACTACAGAGTGTCACAATACCACTCCGCTTGTAGTAGTTCAACTATGTGGTGGAGTGGTATTGTGACACTCTGTAGTAGTTCAACTATGTGAAATATAATTATTTTAGCTACAGAGTGTATACTTTACGCTTAGACACCAGGGAAGATTAATTAATGAAACATTACCAGCTTGGCTATGTAAACTGTGCGTTGATATTCGGTCACTTAGCTAAAAGATCCGTGCGTGTCAAACATATTTTGACAGAAAATGAAAGTCAGACATGATTAATATAATAATAGCAATGTGTTATTTATAGCAACTTCAACATGTAATATACAAATCATACTCGGTGTTTTTTGGTGTGTGTGTGTGTGTGTGTGTGTTGTTTTTTTCGTTGTGGTTTAAACAAGTGAATTTTTCACACGTTCGAGCGTATGGGTGCACGTATAGGTTTAAGAATAGATAACAGATCTGGAATGCGGAAAGTTTCCGGTTGTCTTAGTTACATATTGTTTGAAGTCACTCTCTTTAGATGCGTGGAAAAGTTAGCTGTAGAACTATATATAATTGTATACTATGTAGTTTCTGTAGTAGTTCAACTATGTAGCGGAGTGGTACTGTGATACTCTGTAGTAGTTCAACTATGTGGTGGAGTGGTACTGTGATATTCTGTAGTAGTTCAACTATGTGGCGGAGTGGTACTGTGATATTCAAACACCAGGGAAGAATAATTAATGAAACATAACTATCTTAGCTAAATACTGTGTACTCATGCTTAAACACCAGGGAAGAATAATTAACGAAACGTAACTATCTTAGCTAAATACTGTGTACTCACGCTTAAACACCAGGGAAGATTAATTAACGAAACATAACTACGTTATCTAAAGAGTTTGTGCTTAAGCTGAGACATCAGGGGAGAATAATTAACAAGCGTGAGTACACAGTATTTAGCTAAGATAGTTACGTTTCGTTAATTATTCTTCCCTGGTGTTTAAGCGTGAGTACACACTATTTAGCTAAGATAGTTACGTTTCGTTAATTATTCTTCCCTGGTGTTTAAGCATGAGTACACAGTATTTAGCTAAGATAGTTATGTTTCATTAATTTATTCCACCCTAGTAACATAACACGAGTATAAACATCTGGTTAACTTACTTATGTTTAGTATTGTTTTCCACACCCAGCGTTTGAATATGACCGAGTTGAAGAAAAATACTACCAAGCAATTGCAGAAAATATTGTTAGGGAACTTCTTCTGCAACGAAAGAAGAAACAAGAAGAAAAAAAAAGATCTCCATTTGTACGAAGTGCTCTACGGCTGCACTCAAGTCTTTCTAAGAAATCAACGTTTAGCCGTAGTTCCAATAAAATTGAAAATTTAGAAAATATCAACCTCAATAAACAAACTGTAGGTATTGTTTATAACAAATATTAAATAAATACATAGACTTAGAGCAAATTGTAACTGAAACCAAAACACCTTATTAGCAGTGACCTAAAATAGTCCAACTGTAACTGAAACCAAAACCCCCTATTAGCAGTGGCCTAAAATAGTCCAATTGTAACTGAAACCAAAACACCTTATTAGCAGTGACCTAAAATAGTCCAATTGTAACTGAAACCAAAATGCCTTATTGGCAGTGGCCTAAAATAGTCCAACTGTAACTGAAACCAAAATACCTTATTAGCAGTGGCCTAAAATAGTCCAATTGTAACTGAAACCAAAACACCTTATTAGCAGTGACCTAAAATAGTCCAATTGTAACTGAAACCAAAATGCCTTATTGGCAGTGGCCTAGAACAGTCCAATTGTAACTGAAAACAAAATACCTTATTGGCAGTGGCCAATAAGGTATTTTGTTTTCAGTTACAATTGGACTGTTCCAAGCCACTGCCAATAAGGTATTTTGTTTTAAGTTACAATTGGACTGTTCTAGGCCACTGCCAATAAGGTATTTTGTTTTCAGTTACAATTGGACTGTTCTAGGCCACTGCCAATAAGGTATTTTGGTTTCAATTACAATTGGACTGTTCTAGGCCACTGCCAATAAGGTATTTTGGTTTCAGTAAAAATTGGACGGTTTTAGACAGTGGTCTATAACATACCAATTTTTGCTGAAATCAAAATATCTTATTGGAAGTGGTTTAGAACAGTCCAATTGTAACTGAAAATAAAATACCTTATTGAAAGTGGCTTACGACAGTCTAATTTTAACTGAAACTTACAGTAATTCCCCTTTTAAAGTCAGAATCTTGCAACGAGACAGTAGAGAGTGAAGCGTCATTGTAGTCAAGAAATGACGTTTCGCTTCATACTTGTTACTCTGTGAAGGTAACGAATAGTGTTTATGTAATAAAGGTATACTTTATTATGTCTTTAATGTTACTTTCATTAACAGTATTGATTAGAATATTTAATATATCCAGTTTTATTATTTTATTCTATCATTGTTATTATACACTAGCACAAAAAACTCACGTTCCGCTGCGGGATTCTAAGGTCCTCTCATGGTTCACAGAGGCCTCAATGAACCAGTCAAGCTTCTCCATTATCTTAATTACTTCTATATGCTTCCAATGTGCCAATTCTTTATTTGATTTGTCTGTTGCCATTTCTTGAACTTAATTCATTTAAACTATTTTTAAAAGCAAATAGTTTTAATTTATTTTTTCAGATACGTTTTTTTTAATTATTGTGTTTTTATTTGAATTCTTTTCATTCTTAGAATTCTCCAATATTCTCTGATTCATACTTTTCTTCACGTTGTTTGTTGCCGTTCAATTCACCTTTTTCTTAATTCTCAGATTTGTATTTGTCTTCCTATGTTTGTGTTGAAAAAGATTATTTGGCAAAAAACTACATATATTGTTCATTCAATAAGTGAGAATTAGAAAAAAAACGATACTTTTCTATAGACCTTCAGGAAGCAGAATTATGGGGCTTAAGGGCTATAAGGGCAAAACTATAGGGTAAACGATTGCCTAATTTTTTGAGTCAAATTTAAAAAATAATAATACCCAGGTGTACACCTTTAGAATCCCCTAAGTATGCGTGAAAAGTTTCAGGTCTCTAGGTTCTTTCCACATGGAGCTTCGGTGGTCACACACACGGACAGACAGACTCTTTTATTATTATAGATTTATTATGAAGATTGTTCTGTATTGACAACTTAATATCTGGATTTAGAACCAACCTAAATCTTCTAACTTGGCTGAACCTCGCTAGATAATATTGGGTTTATGGCCGAGAATATTGTTAACAGCGAGGGTACCCAATTTAGAAAACAATGAATTGAATCTTTTAAATAAATGACTAATTAAAAATATATTTAATTAGCTGTAATCATGGGCGGCGATGTTTAGTTTTGGTGCAATTAGGTATTTTCCCTCGAACTTCTAGAAACGAGATTCTAGTGATCCAAAATGTTCCTCCTGGGCCGAGGACATTCCAGAAGACATTCCCGAAAAAGTGGTCACTCTCGTGGAACTTCTCTTGAAAGAGGCTGAATCCAAACAAGACTGGGATAAAAAAGAGTCGGAAAAACCAGTTACTTGCTACACAGATATACTTTTTAATGTTTGGAACTTTTCGGAAGATATTTTTCACCTCCTTCCTCATCAGGTAGGATGTAGAAGAAATTGTTGATGTTTTGAGGATATATATCTATGACTGCTTGTTTATATAATCAATAGAAGTAATGACAAATAAAACGGTATAAAAATGCTACAAATCCAGATGTAGAGCTTTATAATTATGACTGTGTAACATTATTTTAAAATTATCTTTCTTTTTTTGTGGATAATTATCCAAACAATTCTCCCAACTTACTGGCGGATACTAGTGGTAACTGTGAACACCGTTTTACTCTACTGTTTTATGTACCATAGCCTCCTTGTAGGCTTATGACGCTATAGTTCAGGTTTCGATACCTGTGGTGCGCAGAGCACAGATAGTTCATTGTGTAGCTTTGTGATAAGCAGCAACCAAACCATACTATATACCATAATCCAGATTTCCAGTGTCTTAGTGGTAAGTCTGAGGGGCTCACAACTCTAGAATCCGGGTTTCGATACACGCGGTGGGCGCATGGTGTAGCTTAGTGCTTAATAATAAACAAACACATTTAATAGGGTGCCAAAAAAACTTCTTAAATATTCATTTTTATCCCTTAGTATGATGTTTCAGAAGCTTTGATATGTTCTGTAAAGTGGAGGTGTTTCAGAAATATTATTGTCAAAATATAGAAAACTGTTCCACAACATCCTTTCATAGTTTTAATGAAACGCTACGTGGAAGGGGGTTTAGAGGTCTCTTAATGATTCACAGAAGCTACAATGTACCGATTAAGCACTTCCATCATTTCCAATTACTTCTATAACTATAACAAGTGGGTCCTGCTAGAACATCCGCCCTTGATATCTGAGAAAGTGTACTAAGTTTGGTTCCGCTAACTTGAGAATGGGGTATGAAGACAGTGTCAAACATGATGCCACTGTGGTCCAGAGGAAGGGGAGTCCAGAAACACACAACCCGAAAGCAGATTTGGCTTCAGCGACCTTCAAAGCCTACCCCTAGACTCCCTCGTCCCTGGGTGACCCGCAGGGCATGGCTGAGTCCGACTAGGTATCCCTTTAGTTCCAAAATTGTGGGAGGAGTTCTTGGGCAAGTAAATTAATTCACACAGAATGGAAGTCATACAATTTATCTTATCTAACATAGAAATAAGGAGAATCTATATGATAGAGATATACATTTCTTTGAAGTTGTAAAATAAGTTGGCATTCATGTTTAAAACTACTTCTGATTCTCGTAGTCATAGGAAAGTATACTGTACTTTAATTAACTGAAGCTCTCTCCAAGACCAGTTGAAGTTTGATCAGTGTCGCCTCAATCGATCTGGCTAACACAAAAGTAATGGCAATCAGTATAGGCAATTCATTAATTAATTCAAGAAGCAAATCTTTCAAGCAGCCATTTAAAGCTCTTTTATTAGGAGCTTTGGACAGAACATGGGTTTGTTTTGTTTGTTTGTTTTTGAATTTCGCGCAAAGCTACACGAGGGCTATCTGCGCTAGCCGACCCTAATTTTGCAGTGTAAGACTAGAGGGAAGGCAGCTAGTCATCACCACCCACCGCCAACTCTTGGGCTACTCTTTTACAACGAATAGTGGATTGACGTCACATTATAACG